GGACCGTGCGGTGAGGTCTTTGCGGATTTCGAGGTCACCGCCGGGTCTGTCACCACACGGTTTTGGGACACCCAAGCATTTCTGGGCGCCCGAACCCTGACCTTCCAGGAGGGCTAAAGAATAGCACGCAACTGAAAAACCTATCCCAGAGCTATTCTATGTCTTGCGTTTAGTTTTTAGTTTTTTGTTTAAAGGTTTTTTGGCCTCCCGTGCTAAAAAATAACTCTCTGGAAAGTCAGGGAAATGGGTACGGAAAGAATGGGTACGATGCCCAACAGCAGTTCTTGTTCATTTTGAACAGGACTCGCTGTCCACGCCGCCGCTGTCTGCATCAATTCGAGACAGAAGGCCGCCTGCCCAACAGCGGCCGCTGCTGGTTTGGGGCAACATTTGTTGTTGTGGTGGTCTGGGTCTTCCCTCCGTCCTGCACAATGCCACAATTCCGCCTGACGCTGTCCGGGCGCCCGGGCGGCCCGGGCGTCCGGGCGGCTGGGCGCCCGGGCCGCCCGGGCGGCCCGGGCGTCCGGCCCGGGCGCCCGGCGCCGTCCGAGCATCCCGGCGCCCGGGGAGCGCCGGGCGCCCCGGCAGCGTCTGGCGGCTGGCGCCCTGGCGCCCGGGCGCTCGTCCGGGCGGCCGGGCGCCCGGGCGGCCTGGGCGGCCCGGGCGTCCGGCCCGGGCGCCCAGACGCCGTCCGAGCATCCCGGCGCCCGGGGGGCGCCGGGCGCCCCGGCGTCCTAGCGTGCCGGCGCCCCGGCGCCCGCCGTCGGGTGTCGGGCGCCCGGGCGGCTCGCGAGCGCCCGGGCGTCCGGGCTGCTCGGGCGCCCGGGCGCCGGGCGCCTTGGGCGCCCGGGCAGCCCTGACAAGGGCGCCCGTGGGCGCTGCCGACGCCGTCCGATCATCCTGGCGCCCGAGCCGGCCGCCCAAGGCGTCCGGGCGCCCCGGGCGTCGGGGCGGGCGGTCCGGGCGGCTGGGCGCCGGGGCGCCCCAGGCTGCTTGGGCGCCCGGGCTGCCCGGGCGCCCGGGCAGCCCGGACGCCCCGGGCGTCCGGGCAGCCCGCACGCTGCGCCCTTACAAGGGCGCCTGGAAGCGTCTGGGCGTCCGGGCGTCCGGGCGCCGTCTGGGCATGCCGGCGTCCGGGCGTCCGGGCGTCCGGGCGTCCGGGCGGCGGCCCCGGCGTCTGGGCGGCTGGGCGCCCGGGCGTCCAGGCCGCCCGGGCGTCAGGGCGCTGGGCGCCCCGGGCGCCCATGTGCCTCCCCGCGTCCGGGCGTCCGGGTGCCCGGCGGGCGCCGTCCGGGCGCCGTCCGGGCGCCCGGGCTGCATGCCCGGCCGGGCGGCCCGGGTGCCTTTCAGGCAGCTGGGCGCTCTTGCAAGGTCCGGGCGAATGAGTCTGGGCGCCCGGGCGCCTGGGCGTCGCGCCGGGCGTTCGGGCGCTCAGGCGCCGTCCGGGCTTGCCGGCGTCCGGGCGTCCGGGGCGCTCGGGCAGCGGCCCGGGCGTCCGGGCGGCTGCGTGGGCGCCCGGGCGTCCGGGCCGCCCGGGCGTCCGGGCCTTGAGCGCCCCGGGCGCCCATGGCCGGGGCCCCCCCCGCGCCTCCGGGCGTCCGGGCTGGGCCCGGGGCGGCCGGGCGGCCCAGCGCCCGCGCGCCTTGGGCGTCCGGCGCCAGGCCGGGCGCGCGGGCGCCGTTCAGGCAGCTGGGCGCTCTTGGCGTCCGGGCGAATCAATCTGGGCGCCCGGGCGCCGGTCGTCGCAGCGGCGCCCGGGCATGCGTCCGGGCGGCTGGGCGCCCGGGCGCCCGGGCCGCCCGGGCGTCCGGGCGCTGGGCGCTCCGGGCGCCCATGGGCCTCCCGGCGTCCGGGCGTCCGGGCGCCCGGGCGCCGTCCGGGCGCCGTCTGGGCGTCCGGGCTGCCCGGGACGGCCGGGCGGCCCAGCGCCCACGCGCCTTGGGCGTCCGGCGCCAGGCCGGGCGCGCGGGCTCCGTTCAGGCAGCAGGGCGCTCTTGGCGTCCGGGCGAATGAGTCTGGGCGCCCGGGCGCCCCAGCCCAGGCCGCCCAGACGATCTGGCGTCTGGGCGCCCGGCCGTCCAGGCGTCCGGGGGCCCTGGGCATCGCAGCACCCAGGCGTCCGCAGGGCGGCCGGGCGGCTCGGCGATCGGGCGCCCCAGGCGTCCAGCGCGCCAGGCCGCGGGCGTCTGGGCGCCGCCTGGGCGGCCGGGCGCTCTGGGCATTTGAGCGTCCGGCGCCCGGGCGGCCTGGGCCCTGGCCGCGCTGCCCAGCGTCCGCGCCCGGGCGCCGTCCAGGCGACGCCCCGGGCGTGCGGGTGCCCAGGCGTCTGGTCGCCGTCCGGGCGTCCGGGCGTCCCGTTGGGCGCTGTGGGCGGCTGGGCGCCCCGTGCCGATCGCCCCAGCGCCCAGGCGCCCCGGGCGTCTGGGCGTTGTGGCGTTGTTGGGACGTTCGGCGGGCGCCCCCGCGTCTGGACGTCGCGGCCCGGGCGTTCGGGCGTCTGGGCGTCTGGGCGCCCAGGCGTCTGGGCATCCAGGCGCGCAGGCGCCCCAGCGTCTGGGCACCCCGTCAGGCCTGGGCGTCCGAGCGCCCGGACGTCAAAGGCGCCTCGGCGTCTGGGTGTCCGGACGTCCTGGCGTTCCCGAGCATCGGGCGCGCAGGCGTTTGGGCGCCGGGGCGGCGCCCAGTCGTCTGGTCGTTTGGTCGTCTGGTCGCCCGATCGCCGCCTGGGCGCGTTGTCAACTTGTTCTCGCTTATGCGTGGGCCGCATCTCCGATTCAGAATGCGGCTGCCGCGTTGGCGCCAGCGACGTCCTTCCTTGAGAATGTCGTTCTCGCGTTGGCGCCAGCCGAGTGTCTCATTGAAAATGCTGCTGTCGCCTGGGCGCTGACGACATCCGTCATTGAGCATGTCGTTCTCGCCTTGACGCTGGCCAGATCTTGGATTGAGAATGTGGTTGCCGCCGAGGCGCCAGCGACATCCTTCATTCAGCATGTCCTTCTCGCCTTGGCGCAGGCCATACATGTCATGTCTGCTTGAAAATGTTATTGTTGCCTCGGCGCCACGGCATCCTTCATTGAGTATATCGTTCTCGGTGTGGCGCCTGTCGCATGTCTGATGGAAAATGCTGCTGTCGCCTAGGCGCCAGCCACATCTGTCATTGATCATGACGTTTTCGCTGTTGCGCCAGTCACATGTCTGATGGACAATGTCGATGTCGCCCACTCGCCGGCCACATCTTTCATTGAGCATGTCGTTTTCGCTACGGCTCCAGCCACGTCCAATTGAAAATGCTGGTTTCGCCTAGGCGCCTGCCGCACACATGATTGCGATAATTGTTCTCGCCTCAGCGCGGATTGCATTTTCGACTCGGAATGCTGCTTACGCCCAGGTCCTGGGCTCCGGCCGCGCGCATGATTGCGATTGTTCTCGCCTGCTCAGCGCGTGCTGTGCTCTCGTTTCGGAGTGCTGCTCTCGCCTGGCGCTGGCCAAAAATACGATTGCGAATGTTGTGCTGCCGCTTCGGCGCCAGCCGCACCCTTCATTGCGAGTGCCCTTCTCGCCCTGATGATGGACTATACCATCGCAGGGGCGCCTGCCACATCTTGATTGCGAACGACTTTCGCTTTCTGGATCGCTGCCCCATCCGCGGGAAATGAAGAGGGATTAGTGATGCAATTGGCCTTTTTGCATTGCATGTTACTGTGCCGTCCCATTCTTGGCGCGCGTGACACGCCGGTGTCGTCGCCGAGCCGTTGGTCATGTTAAGTTGGGTGGGTCAGGTTAGCTTTGGCGCAGTGTTGACAGGGCCTGGGGCCAGGTAAAGTCGGGGATTTGTCACGTTAGGGGGGGGGCATCGGGGGCTTCAAGGGCATGCAGAAAAAACGTTTCAGAGACATGCATCAATGTGGCGAGCGTTATTTTCGAAAATGCCATCGTCAAGTCAGCAGTCTAACAGTTCCATGTAAATCCGCCGATCCGGCGTGTGAGTTTCTGAGAGCGTGAACTTGAGCTCGCTCGAGCTTCGCTCTGCAGGGGGGGGTTCGTTATTTCCGACGTCATTTCCAATGTTTTTCGGTACACGGGGATATTTCCGACGTCATTTCCGACGTTTTTCGGTACCCAGGGACAGGGGGTATAGAAAACTCCACTTCCAGAGCCCCGACCGCCCAAGACAGCCCAAGAGGAAGCCAAGAGAGGCCCCAGATGCCCCTTAGACAATGCAAGAGGGCCCCGAATCGCCGAAACATCATCCTCATCATCCTCATCATCCTCATCATCCTCATCATCCTCATCATCCTCATCATCCTCATCATCATCATCATCATCATCATCATCATCATCATCATCATCTCGCTCTCACCCCCCTGGATCGGCGGCACTGGCCGGAGGCCAGCCCAATAGTTGCGGCTAACCTTTGCGCAGGCAAAACACTCCCAGCATGGACACATCTCGCATCCCGTAGACTCAGAATTCAATTGCGTGTGCCATAGCATCTAAGTTTTGAGGTCTCGTGCAACAGTTCTGGAATCAAGGCGCACAACTAAAAGCACTCGTGGGAATGACACCACCGCGGATCCATCAGCACGAAATCACTGGCGATAACAGGGAGAGATAATGAATTGGAGGAGAGGGTGGGAGGAAGGAATAATGGAACTCGTGGCCCGCAGCTCGGGCTGCAAACGTGCCCCGAGAGGATGGCTCACACCACTCATGCATGAATTGTTTCGTGCACGCAGAGCAATAAGACACATTGCGACGAGCACAGAGCAGCTGATTACGTTGGCGCTCGTCCCCCCATAGCCCAAACGGCCACATCGATGCATCCAACATAAGAGGACATAGGAGGCAAGGGGGGGAGGAAGGAAACAGAGGTGGATGGATGGGGGAGGCAAGATGAAGAGGATGCTCACCCAGCACGGTGACATGCAAATCCAATTCAAAGTCTAGCATTGGAGCGGGGGTACATATAGAGTTGCGAGTCCTCCACAGCAGCCCTACGCTCACCCGAGCGCAGGCGGGGGCGGCCGCCTGACGATGACACCGGGTCGCTGGCACAGCTCGTCCAAGCGATTCGAAACATTCTCGCCTTGCAGACGCGGCCAGCCGCAGTTCTGCTTCAGTGGTCTCGCCCCGAGGGCTTCGTGCAACGTCTCCCACGTGAGGCCCAAGGGCCGCAAGTCAAAAATTACGTCCATGTGCACGACGTCAAAGGAGGACGACGGTGCCAAAAACTCAGCGAGAGCGCCCCGCAAATGTTCGGGCACTTGCTTGAGCAAGCGTTTAGTGTCGTCGGCGTTCACATCGCGCTGCGCAGTCGCAGCGCACACAGCTACACCAGCTACAAGTGTGCTTCCGAAAACAATTCGGGCGCCAGCGCATGCGAACCCAAGTTGGTTCCTGGGGGAACGCTCTTGGTACGCCTGGCACTCGAAGAACTTGTCTCCCGCTGCGGCGGCGTCTGCCCAGAACTGCCGCAGTTTTCTGCGGCGCACCACATGCGCTGCGGAATCACCTCCAGCCCCGTCCCCGACCGCAGCCTCCACAGCAGGCGCTGCTTCTGGGACTTCGGCCGGCAATGCAGCGGGAGGCGGCGGTCGCCTTGCCTTCTTCTGCGCCCTCCTCTGCGCCCTGGCACTTTCACGCGCGGCGCCTACGTCCCGGAACATGTTGTGCACTTCCACGAGTTCGGACACGAGAAACGAGCAAACCCACCTACCCATGTGGTGCACTGTATGCGCTAGAGGTGACAGTTGAGCATTCACTGACTCACAAATCGGAGTCGGGAAACTTCCCAACGTTGCCTCGTTGGCTGCTACTGTGGGGAAGCACTCGTTGCGGCACGTCGGGTCGACATGTCCGAGGCTGTGGGGCCGATCCAGAATAAATTGGAAGCCGCCAAGACGCGCAGCCATGCTGCCCTCGGCCGCATCCGCACCCCTGCATAATGCAAACACTCTCACGTGGCACGCATCGTCATGCACAAGTGTCTTCAGCTCGGGGACAGCGGCCGCCACCTTAGGGGGGGGCCAAACAGGGTGTTCGTTATTTTAGCAAAGATTGCAATGGCACGAAAAGACACGGGGCGGAGGGAGCGGAGGATAGGATGGGATGGGAAAGAAGGCAGAGGAAGCTTGGCCAGGGAGGCGCGGGGTAGGGACGGGGAGGGAGGGGTTGGGAGGGAGGGGGGAGTGGTGAGGGATGGACAGGGGAGAGGGAAAGGCAGAGGAGGAGAGGGAAGAGGAATGTGGGGGGGAGGTGAAGGTTCAGGCATGCACGTTCATGGATCCATGGGCCATGGCAAGGAAGGACAGGGCAACGGCAGAGAGGGCACGCAGGGGGAAGGGGAATAATGAGGGGAACGGGGGTAGGGAGAAGGAAGGGACGGACGAGGGAGAGAGGGATAGGGTAGGGGAGACAGAGTAAGGCCAGGGAAGGTTTGAGGAGTGAGCGGAAAAGGGGTTTGAAAAGGAGGACAGAGAGAGGGAAATAGGGAAAGCAGGGTAATTCAAGAGAGGGGAGGGGGTCTCGCAAGTTTCCCACGCAAATTCGCTGGCTCACTGGTGACAGAGGCGAGTTCCATAAAATCTCCAGAAAGTGGTTCAGAATATGTTTAGTCAGCAAACGCGCGGCGGTCCCTGGGGGTCTCCAAGCGAAAAGTACCCCAGGGAAGGGCCCAGCAAAATCCTGGTGAAGTCCCGCCACGGATGCCGGCACTCCCACGGGCGGTTCCCGGGGGCGGCCTTCGGGGCCCCCACGAACGCTTAGGATTGCCCCAAGGGGCCCCAACAACGGCCCAAAGGAGCTCCGAGAGAGCCCAATGATCCGGATCAATCGAGGCGCCAACGCAGCCCCAAGATGGTCCAATGCAGCCTCAATGGAGCCCCTGGAGGGTAAAGTTCAATGTTTTTTTTTGTTTTTTTGTTTTTTTTTGGTTTTTGAAATATGTCGGCGTTGCCGCCCGTTCGGCCTTCGACCGCCCAAGACGGCCCAAAAGGCCTCCGATGTAGCTTCGAGTCAGCCCAAGACGCCCCCAGGACGGCCCCAACCCAAGAGGGCCCCAAAACGGCCCAAGGGGCTTCCCAGGAGGGCTCCATAACCCCCCCAGAGGGCACACAAGAAGGGGAACCCCAACTGACATGTCGAGCCCTTCCCCGAAAGATTGCCCCCGAAACCGCCAGCAGGCACCCAAGACGCCCGGGGCCTGCAAGAGGCCCCAGGAGGTTCAACAAATAGCGCCAAAAAGCTTCCGAGAGGCTTCCCGAAAAAACGTCTCGTCGACGACCCAGCTTGGCCCCGAGAGTGCCCCGAGAAGCCATCGACTGAACTCCTCCTCCTCCTACTCATCCTCCTCCTCCTCCTCCTCCTGCTCCTCCTCCTCCTCCTCCTCCTCTCCCTCCTCTTTCCACTTCCCCTTCCTACTCCTTGTTTTCGCCCGCCTCGAGCACGCCGACAGACAGCGATATGGGCCAGCGGAGTGAGCGAAGCGATTCAAGTCTAGCCGCTTCGCGTAACCCCACCAGCCCATCCAGAAACGATGCCCAGAGGAATTGCCTCGATCAGGGAAGTGGGCAGCACACAGAGAAAGGGTCCCCCAGTGGAGGCCTCTTGGAGCGTCTTGGGGTCCTCTTGGCGGTCCCGGACGCCTCTTAGAGCGTCTTGGGTGCCTCGATTGCTTCTTGGGGCCTCTTGGGGGTCTGTTGCGAGCCTCTTGGAGGCCTCTTGGGCGCCAGTTGGGGCCTCCTGGGGCCTCCTGGGCGCTCTTGGATTGATGTTCCCAAGGTTTTGGAATGATTTGGGCCTCCTGGGGCCTCCTTGGGGAGCTCTTTGGCCACTTGGAGCCGTCTTGGAGCGGTCTTGGGGCCTCTTGGAGCATCGTGAGAGCCATCTTGAGGCATCTTGGGATATCTTGAGCCATCGTGGAGGTCATCTTGGGCTCTCCCAGGCGCTCTTGGAGTCATCTTAATCAGCGCCCCCCCCCACCCAGGATGCCAACATGTTACCCAAACCAACGTAAACTCAATGGTTTTAGAATTCTCGCCGAGGCCTCTTGGAGCGTCTTGGGTGCCTCTTGGGGCCTCTTGGGGGTCTCTTGGGAGCTTCTTGGGGGCATCCTGGGGGCCTCCTGGGGGCCTCTTGGGGCCTCCTGGCCTCCTCTTGGGGCTCTCTTGGGGCACCCTTGGGAGCCTTGGGAGCGCTCTTGGGGCCATCTCGGAGGAGATCCATCAAAGAATGGGGGTTCCCAAATCAGGGTCGCCTTCCCCGAAGGCCAACATGAGGCCAAAACTATAGTAAAACCAATGATTTGGGCTTCCTCGCCGAGGCCGTTTTGGACGCTCCAACGCGTCACGAACCCCCCCGTCCACGTCCAGGGGAGGAGGTAGGGGGAGGGGTAAACCCCTCCCCGAAGGGGAAGTAGGAGGGGTCACAGAGGAAACACTCTAGACCACCAACGCCCAAAGGGCTGGTGGGATTAAACCCCTCGGTTCTCCTGCCTCCCATTTCATCATTCACTAGTGGTGGTGGTGATGATTTCCCTCCCTCTTGCACCTTGGCCAAGAAGCAGTAACGCTGCGACAGGGTCTCCGCTGTGATGACCTCCTCGAAGGCGCCGATGACTCCAGTCTCCGAGACCGCGGTCAGGATGCCCGCTGAACGCGCAGACGTGCGCACTGCCGAAATAGATTCCTTGTGTGTCTTGCAGGAGCACTTGTCTTTGGGCTCGCGGGAAGCCCAGTCTCCGAGACAGAACGCTGGCGCCCGTCCGACACGGAGATCACGGCGCTCTTGTCGTCGACGTTTCCGCTCTTGCAGAACCACCTCGGCGTTGCGAGCGAAGTAGGACTGCACGAGGTCGTTGTCCACCGTGCAAGCGGGCTGAAAACGATCGCTTCCCGCGAGCCGAACTTCCACGTCCAGGAAAGCTACGGTCGCCAGCGGTGCCAGCACACGATGCGCTTCAATATGGGTGCCTATTCCCGTCTGACTTGGAACGGCCGCTAGTTCCTGGTGCCGACGACACAGGACTCCCTTCTGAAGAGGCGTGTCTGGGCATCCGCGTACCAGGTGCATCCCGAGCTCGTCCGAGTACACAGCCTCTGCGCAAGGCGCTCCACAAGTGCGCCGGCACAGCTTCGCATTACCGTCCATTGCACAAATGTCCAGTCTGTCCCCGCTCGACCGCCACGCCTGAAGCCGGCGTTCTGCCATCATTGGCTTGTACCAGCCCATGTTCTCGCGCAGAAGATCCTCCAACGTTTTCTCGAGTAAGGAGCTGGCCAACACCTTTTTTGTGCTGGGGGCGCTCTCCGCCGCCCGCTGCCACAATTGGTAGCGTATCCATGCTGATTCCAAACCTCGCTCCAGCGTCTCGATGGGCACGTCGGGTTCGAGGGCTCGCAGGATCTGCGCCTCGCCTGAGAAAGAAGCGCGGTGGGCATACAGGCGATATCCCCATCGTTTGGCCCAGGCCGAATCAATGCCGAAAGACTTGTTGAGCATGAAGAAAGGATTCGCGGGGGCGCTGATGTCCATGGATTTCACGAAGGCTCCCTGGCGTTCGGGCGCAGACGTCTCGACGTAGCCGCACCAGTACTTCCGAACGGCACCAGCCGCACTACATGGAACACATTGCTTGGCAAAGTGGTGCCTCGCAACGCACTGCGGTTCAGCCACGATGACGCAGCGCACGGGACTCCGTTGCTGGACCGGTTGCAAAGGGCCCCTGCAATCAGGGCATGATGTCCGAGCTGTGCTTAGCTCAGGGAGCGCATTCACCCCAGGCTTGCTGGCCTCTTCCACGAGGCAGTCGACGCCACCGCCCTCGCTGCGCAGTCGCCCGGCAGACGAGCTGTGTGCGGCTGGCGCCATCGCAGCTGGCACCTCGGTGCCATTGTCTCGTGCCTCCTGTCCACTGCCATAAGGCGCCGCCCCAGCGCGATTGCCCCCTTGCCACAATGGGCGCACAGGAGTCCATTCGGTTGACCCGCCGCGGGACATCGCCGGCTGCCCCCACCCTGAAACAACAACTGGAACAGAGCAGAATACCCCGGGAGACCTAGCAGGAAGAGGGCGTTGAGGTTTGACTTGGTAAAACGGCATCGTGAGTAAAGCGACGCATGGAAGGGCCATCGAACAATTCATCCGCCCAGAATGAGCGCGTTGAGTAGTTCGAAGCCTTGTTAGTGATAGCCCGGTGTCGGTGTGTGTAGCATTGGAAGTACTAGCGTTCTTTCAGCAGGTAGTGGTATTATCAGAAACAGTTGCACTACTGTTTCCACTGGGAGCCAGGCGCACCAGCACTAACAGTAGACGTTGTACTCGTCGCCATGGTAGTCGTAGACTCTTCGCCTGCGCTAAGAATTGGAGGTGCGAAAACGTGTACAAGTGTGGAGGTGTGTTTGGGCCCTTCCCTACGGCCGTCTTCGGTGGCCGAGGGGCCGCAGGGAGGTCCTCGTCCCCTTCCGGTGCTTAGTGACGGCATGGTGAATTGGTGCATGGGTGAATTGGTGGGAGAGGGCGGGCCCCGAGCAGCCCCTGCGATGGCAGCTGCGACGGGTGCAAGGCCTACGATGGCCCTCAGTGGCGAGGCCTATGATGGTCCACGACGGGGGGGGCGAGAGAGCAAGGATGTCGTTGGCGTCGAAGGTGATCTCGAAAATGTCGGGTCCTGAAGCGGGAAATCCTGTTCAGGGGAAGCCTGGAGGGTTGGGGCGGGGCGATTGCGTCAACCTGTTTGCGTAGGCCCATGGAACGACGTTTTGTCCGGGAGGGGGGCAAAACGTCGACGCAGTTTCATTTCAGAGAGAGAGAGAGAGAGAGAGAGACAGGGAGAGAGAGCGGCAGCAAGAGAGAGAGAGAGAGAGAGAGAGAGAGAGAGAGAGAGACATTCACGAGGTCAGATGTGCACGTTTCGGGGAGGGCGTCCGCCTTGGATTCGGAAGATACGGAATTCAGAAAATTCGTACCATAAACAGCTGGCGGCGAAACCACATCATAGCACCCCAGGAGCGTTCAGCGGCAGGAATGCACCATTGGAGTGCCAGAGCGACAAGTGGCGACGTTAATTTGAAGAGTTCACAGGGGCCAAAGTCACAAGAGCCCCTCCCCGCGACAAGTGTTACGAATGCAGCCTCTCAGACCCTATGCCATCCAACAGCGGGTGGACCAGTGCATCCAAAATGCACGGATGCAGCAGTGCACCAAAAGGCACGGATATTCAACAACGGATGGACCGGTACACCCAAACACACATTTGAATAGTTGCGGAGGCACACTGGCTCGGTCAAGGTGTGCACCTTGCCCCAAACGATCAAGCCGTGGACCTTTTCTACCGTCGCATCGTGGGTCCACGCACCCTCTCCCTCCTCCTCTCCTCTGGCCTCCTCCCGCCTCCTCTCCCTTTCTCCAAACTCCTAACGCCCGACCCTTTCCCTCAACAACATGGCATAGCTACCGCGCGCCCGCGTGTTCCTACCCCCCTGACATTGGAAGGGGAGCAGTCCAGGAAGCACTGTAGAGTCAGCGTCTCGCAGACTTGTCCAGAACGGCGCTAAAACTGTTAAAGGAAGCTCGGGGTATGGACTGAGTCCAGGCTCTGACCAAACGGGGATGGCAAACGAACCAGAGAGAGAGGTGTGAAGATTGCAGCCTCTCTGCCCCTCTGCCGCGCCTAAAACCTAGGATCGGACGGCGCGCCGAAAATAGTTTTTCCCGGGGGCATGCAAATCATGTTCCGGGGGGCCTCTTCTGGAACATGATTCCGGAAGGGGTGTGAACGCCTCATCCAGCAAATTTGTGGATTGGGTCGCGCGACATTTGTTGCCAATGTGTTGAGAAGACAAATGAAAATGGAAGTTGCTTGACTCGCGTGGTATAGCACATCATCCACAGAAGTGACACAAATGAGCGATACGTGCCTGATGGACTGACAAGCCCCCCCCTTCCTGGTTGCTCCAGCGCCCCCCCTTCTTGAACCGAGTCTTTGAACCAAAGTCTGCGTGGCTGGCGCCGCTGGCGGCCACTGCGCTCCCCCCCCCCCGCGCACCACCGGTTGAGTAGGGGCTGCCCGGGTGGGTCGTGGCAGCTCGAGGGAGAGAGAAAGACATGCAGAAAGAGAGAAAGAGAGAGAGAGAGAGAGAGAGAGAGAGAGAGAGAGAGAGAGAGAAAGAGAGAAACAGAGACGAGGTCAGATGCGCACGCCTCGGGGAGGGGTCCGCCCCGGAGGATCATTGGTGAGTGGGGCGGTAGGATCAACTGGGGACGATGTCTCCTGCGCGCGAAACTCAGCTCTAGACGCCCATGGGCCTTCCTCCCAGAGTTCCCCCAGGCATGGCACGGTCCCCGGGGGATATCCTATATACTATGTCACCCTCTGCCCAGGAGCCGTCCGAGGGGCAAATCGTGGCCGCTTGGAGGCATGCTCTAGCAATGCTGATCCCGTTTGTCACCTGTCATCTTGTAGGCCATCTCTGACGCCATCTACGGCTATCTAGGGCCATATCGGAGGCGTCATGAGCCCCAGCAGCCGCCTGTCCGCTCGCGGCCATTCCCTCCAGGCAAGGGAGGGGGGGGCATGGAAATAAGGAGCCATGGAAGCTTATTCTCAAACCCGCCTCCGCAAAAAAGAAGCAACACGAAGAATACACGGGCGGATGGGAGGGGGAGAAGGAGGGGGAGGAGAAGAGGAGGCACATTTTGCAGGACAGAGCGGCTGAGCGGGGCAGCAGGTCGAATCAGGCGGGCGAAAGCATCGATGCGAGACGCCGAAGACACGGGAAGCAGGAGGCGGCGCGCGCACCTCAGCGCGCGAACCGCCGAACAGGTCCGCCAGCGAGATCAGGCATATGTGCTCGGTCGCCGTCTCCCCAGCATCTGGGGCCTGTCTGCAGCCACGTTCGAATTTGGAGAGGAAGGTCAGTCTGGCGCAGAGGCGCCGCATCGGTATTCACATATAGGTCATCGCCGACTTTCTCAGCGACGCGCTCGCGGGTCCGGCGAGCGCGCCGTCGGGCGCGCGCGCGAGGCAGGCAAGCCGCGCCGTGTAACAGGTGAGGCACATGCCACCGCAGTCCGCTCTTCCAGAATTGCCATCCACTTTGGACGTACGTCCAAAATGGTTGAGAGGAGCGCGCCGCGCTCGCCCGCCCCCATACTGGGCATTCAAAAGATTAGATGTTGCGAGAAGTATCGCTCGGGGCCTCCAGCCCCGCCGCGACGCGCGAAGTAAGCCTGCGCAATTCGCCGAGCGCATCGCCGAGGCCTTCCCTGCTCTTCGGGCCTATCCTCACGCGCCGCCAGCGGGAACGCCATCGCCAGCGCCCGCGCCGCCCGAAACGCCCTCAGCGCCTGCAGCGCCCCCCTCCGCCGCAGACCCCCTCCTAGCACGGGCTCGTGGAGGAGCTGGCCCCCACGCAGCCTGGGCTGGCCTCTTCTTCGTCATGAAAGCGGCGCGGGCTTGCGAAATCTCCAACAGCGAGACACGAGCGCAGTGCATGAATTCATTGTGATGCTCGATCTGGCGCTCGCTCTCCTCGGCGAAGTCCCTGAACGTCACGACATCGTCCGCGAAAGTGCAGATCCGCTTGTATTTTGCCGCGCAAGCAGCTAAGAGCGCACGCACGTCGCCTGAAGGCATAGCAACGCGGCGGCTTCCTTTTTGGGCACCTGCCGCCCCCGCCGAGTGCCCACTCGCGCGCTGGTCGTTGACGAGTACCCGCACGCACTCAACGATCTTCGAGACCGTGTCACTGGCGTGCCCGAGCAAGAACACACGGCGCAAAAACTGCCGGTCGGTTATGATAAGGTTGCCATTCACCTTCATGGTCAGAATCATGGTCCCATCGCCCCCCAAGCCGTTATTGTAAAACGTGTCCTCTGCCGCCAAGTCCTCCACCTTCACTGGCGTTGGCCCTTGCGGAGGAACTGGGGGACGCGCGTAAATGTCGCCGTTGGCGTCGTCAGCGCCCCCCGGCGCGGGTTCCTCCTCAGCGGCCAAAACCTCGAGCTCAGGCACCGCTTCCTCCGGACCCCCCTGGGTGGGGAGAGCGCTTGCGAAACGGCTGGGGTCGTAATCCCCGCGAACAGCATGATGCGGAGCAACCTGGTGGAGGCTGGGATGCACAATTTAAACGAACGAGAGAAACCATATTCTTCACAGATGTGCGTCGTGCACTGCGCGCGGTTACAATGATCGCACTCTGCGCTAATCAGATATAAGCTTGTGCTGTTTCTTCCCCTACGATTCAAATTGCATGCGTCACTCGTGCATTGCGCGCTGAGGGCGGATGGTCAGAAGCCAGGGATGCTGGGAAGAGCAGAAGGATGGAGGGGGGGCCAGAGCGATGTCCATCCCTCCTCGCCAGTACACCTCCTTTCCTCAACCTTCCCAACCTCTCTCTTTCGTTCTCTGGCCCTTTCGTTCCTCTATGTTTTTGAAAAGAGCAGAACATGTAGGAGTTGGAATAGTAGGAGTCGTAGTAGTAGTAGTAGTAGTAGTAGTAGTAGTAGTAGTAGTAGTAGTAGTCGTAGTAGTAGTAGTAGTAGTAGTAGTAGTAGTAGTAGTAGTAGTAGTAGTAGTAGTAGTAGTAGTAGTAGTAGTAGTAGTAGTAGTAGTAGTAGTAGTAGTAGTAGTAGTAGCAGTGTTAGTAGTAGTAGTAGTAGTAGTAGTAGTAGTAGTAGTAGTAGTAGTAGTCGTAGTCGTAGAAGTAGTAGTAGTAATAGTAGTCGTAGTAGTAGCAGCAGCAGTAGTAGGAGTAGAAGTAGTAGTACGGATACTAGTGCTAGTACTAGCAGTCGTAGTAGTAGTAGTAGTAGTAGTAGTAGTAGTAGTAGTAGTAGTAGTAGTAGTAGTAGTAGTAGTAGTAGTAGCA